GGGGGTTGGGGGGGGGGGGGGGAGGAGACCCCGGTTCTAGATCCGATCAAGAAGAACGCCCCCGCTTCCGCGTACAAGCGTCTACCACCTCGTTCCTCTCGCCATCGGATGCGGTAGGCAGGCCAACAATACTCCTTCGGTGGATGCAGAGCGCCGAGGGCACCGAAGAGGGAGGACCCGTACTACTGTAATCTCGTGCTCTAGATAGTGCCATCACGAGGGGATACAAGCACGACGAACGCGTTAGCCCTCGGTGAACTGCTGCGTTGTGCCGTCAAATGGGGCTCCCGTCAACTATGCTACGTGTCGCTGACTTTACCTTGTTGAGCCACCGTCTCCGCCACCGCCTCCGCGTCTGCCGCTCGCCGCAGCCGGGCGCGCCTTCTGCGCCGCCGCCGCCGCCTCCCTAGCCTTCTCCTTTTCCCTCGCTGCTTTCTGCTGTTCCGCAGCGGCGGCGGCGGCTTTGGCTTTTGCTTCCGCCGCCGCTGCCAGAGATGCGGCAGCCGCGGCCGCCTCGGCTTGCCTCTCCCTCTCCTGCCGCTCCCGGCGGCGCCGCTGCTGCCCGGCCTCGGCCTGCCGCTGCTCCGCCTGCCGCAGGTGCTCCAGCGCGTCCTCCTCCAGCCCGGGGTTGCACTTGAAGCATCCCCGCAAGTCGCTGTTGGGGAGAGGCCGGGGAGGCGAGTAGCGGAAAGTGGGGTGTGATTTTGCCCTCTTTTGGTAATCCATCAAAGATATGTGCATCGTCGAATGAGAGGATGTCAGAGTTCGGAAGGATAGACAGCTGATACGTATGCTACTACTGTTCCCGGTACACAACTTGGTCGTCCCGTCCAGTTGGGAGTTGCCGTGCACAAGTCCCCGATAAATGAATTTGTTCACCATTACGACAGATAGAGGGGCCGCCCGGTAAGGGAGGGGTGGGGTCGGGCTGTACACGAATCAGTACACGGAGACCCTGCGACATAACGAGGCGCGCCTCTCCCCGTACTCCCTCCACATCGATCCGCAAACCACAAACAAACCTGCATGACATAGTACACGGGCAGAATGAAGCTCCGACGGGTGCGTGGTTCGTTGTTGTCTAGATCGAATCAACACAACACGCATACCGCATGGTAGTTGGCAGTTGGCGTTAGTGCCGCTGCCACGACTGCCTCTTGCCGTGTCCCTCGTCTATTGCAATTGAAGAAGTTGGCAGTCGAAAACTTGACACGGAAGAACGTCACAGGCCCAACGTTTGCAAAACATAAGAGCCTGAGCACCATTTGCGAGCCCCGTCTAGAACCCCTACACAAAAACCTAGTAGCCCACGAGATGAACCGAGCCGGCTTAGAATCCCTCTACAAAACCTAGTAGCGTCCATTTGTAGCCCACCAACTGAATCAAGACCCCAGCCCTACAGTAACGATACTCAGAGTTTCTTAATCAAGTGCGGGCGCCATCGGTACTGATGTATAGCCCTTAACCGTTCATCTCCTCTCACCCGATCGCCTCTCCGAGCCGCGACAGGGCAAGGTACGCGCGTCCCCTCACGAGCAGCGCCATTCCGCGCGCAGACGCGAAGGCCTCGGCCGCGCCTGCCACCGCCGCCATCGCCGCCGTGCGTTGACTTCCTTCGACACCCTGTTCGAAGCGTGAACAAAGAAAAGAAGTGGGGGAGAAAAACATGTACCACTTGGCTTCACGACCACGCTTGCGAATGCAACACGATATAACCCGAACAAATGAACGGACACACACTCTGCTCGGGGAACGTGATGCCACTGGTAAATCCCACACTACAAGGAAAAAAGTACTAACAGCTCGGAAATACTGATGCACTCTGCATGGGAGAGCCGATAAAGGTGAAACCTTCGTAGAACGTTCCTAAAGGAAAGAGGCAGTATCACGACAAGCACGATGACGTATTTTCACTCTCCACACAAAGCAAGCGCCGGCACGAAAAACAGGAGACAACGTTTTTTTTTTTGGAAGTCGCCACCCACCCACACTGTTGTCTGTCAGCAGCTACCTTGGAACCGACGAAAACGATGGCAAACACACACGGTCAAAGCAAGCGATGGCGAGAGATCACGCACCCCTCGCATTGTTAACGCTCGCGCAAGAGAAGCGCGGATGACCCACCACCACCTCAACTATAAAATGTACCTCGATTCATGGCTGTTGTTGTGCATGGGTGCATTGCTTTGTGTCACCCCACTGCGGCTCAATCAGGCGGCTCGTGTGGTGCGTTTGTGGTGCGTCTGTCCTCTCCGGTTGCCCGCCGTCTTCGGCACCGACGAACGACGCTCCAGCGCTTCTCCCTCCTCTTCTTCGTTCGACACCTTCGTGCTATCTAGCCCTCCCACCCCCTCCCAGCGATAAACTTCAGTAATAGTAACTATTTCGTACCCAGAGGACGTACGGACGCACCTCAAGCGACAAGAGCGACAGAGCTCGGTAGCAGTCATCCAGTGCTTCGAGTGCCTTGCCCTCCCCCAGCCTACACGAACCCCGGCGGCAGAAGGCTTCGGCGCTCGGCACGACGCAACCTGGATCGACCTCCAACACCTGTGTGTGTGTAGCGTATCGGTGGCAGGGGCGGCAGCAGCAGCGGCAGCAGAGGCAGCGGTGGTGCTTCAGCCTAGCGGCGATATCATGAGGCTCATCCTAGGCACGCTTTCACCCATCGATCCACTTCACAAATCTCACGGGCATCTAACACAGAGGCATCTGTCTCTATCTACGCCGCATCTGTCTCAATCTACACCGCGAACCAACATTAAATATTTTCGACTTTTATTACGCGAGGACAACGATGTCGCAGTACCTCTCACGAGTGGCCTCACTCCCAGGTTCAAAGCATCGGAGGCACTTTCCAGTGAAAAGGTACAAGAATGCTCGACTTGGGGATTGGACCGGGGCAAGCGCATTGACTGACTCACTGGGGGCACCCACCTTATTGGCAGACTCGACAAACGCTCAATTTGTTTGTGTACCTTCTAGACTTCACAGCCCGAAAACAAATGTAAGCCTAGAAGGTACAGGCCTCCGCATATGCATAACGAGCGTGCTACAAACTTTCTCGATTTTATTCAGGGTGGATCAAGGTGGTTCATGCTTCCGTGTGTTAATGCAAACACGAAGACGCCAATCACTCCCACGACCAACACAACGCCCAACCAAAACAATAACAAATACAACAGCAATGCTACCCCCACCACGTACAACAACACCGAAGCACTAGCAACTATACATACCTGGGTGAACGCCTCTGCGGCCTTAGCATGGTCACCACCGGCGGCCAGGCGCTCCCCTTCCACCGTCAGCCTCCCGGCCCGCTCCCAGCGAGCCCCGTCCTCCACGCACCAGGCGAGCGACGGGTCTCGACACCTTAAAGCCTGCTCGGCCGCCCCGCCCCCAATGGTAGGTGACGCAAAGACAAAAAGAAATAGGCATCGTGGAACGGCTTGCTTGGGGGGTTGTTGCATGGAGAGGGAGAGGCATTGTCGAACGGCTTGCTTCTGGGGTGTTCGTTGCAAAAAGATTGTGGCGGTGGCGAGACATTTCCGGCCGCCGGTGTGCGGACTGTCCAAATCAGGTAACATCTACAAGAGCTGGCTTCGATGATGAGAATGAAAGGTGGGACGCAATTGTGCCTCGACGTGCTTGCTCGCCCCCCCCCCCCACGCTCCCGTCTCGCTTCCAGTGCATCCAAAGTACGCAACAGCTGGTTGAAGGATAATACTTCCATCCATGGCCGCTTTATGATTAAACGTACGATGCGATGAGACAGCCGGGTACCAGCCGCCTCCCCGGCAAAGTCACCTGAACCGCAGGCAGGGCCTCATGCTGCCGTCCACAGCCCCTCAGCGCCGACGCGTACAACCTCGCGACTCCGGGAGCCATGCCAAGCGCCGCCTGCTCGACAAAAACACACCCAAAGAGGGAGTGTTTACTTATACGTCACCAGCAGCAGCGCCATCCTCGTAACTTTTTCAGGGCAACACAGTCGAGGAGAACACAAGAACAGGATTGACGATCGGCGAGATGTTTCTCAAGCATGCGGCCTCACGGTGGCTCTTCTTGACAGCGCGTGCCGTACGTTGATGATCTTGACACAATAAGAGGGTCCCAACAAGAATACCGCAAGAAATGTTTTCGGGGACAGCTGACCTGTACGGGGCAAATCGTCCCAGCGGTCCGACCGCCGGCGGCGGCCCAATCAAAATTGTCCTCGGGATCCGCGCGCAGTCTGATGCATGCCGCCTCGCAGAAGAGGACGCACTCTGTTGGCCGCAGGAGCCGGAGAAGCGCGGAGGCCTACTTATTTCCCCGCAACAAAAACAACAACAACAAAAAACAACAACAACACACACGTGTGCATAAAGGAAGTGCATGATCGATTGATTCATCGGTCGACCACGACGACGTTGAAAATTAACAAGGCGGTGATGGAAGGTGGGCTGCTTGGGTTTGTTGTTACTCTCGTGCTTGGGTTTGTTGTTACTCTCGGCGTTGTGGTCGTCACACTTGAAAGCTAGAGTGTCCTGATGTGCGCCCTTATCAAGCATGGAAGCGAAATCCCGAAGTCACAAACAGAACCCAAAATAAGGTACTACTTCGAACTACAGTAGAGCTATCGTTTGCATGCCACCGGCGAGGAAAAACAGTTACCATGGCTTAGATCAGAGATACAAGGAGCGCTGATGCAGACTGACTAGCCGAACAAAGCTTCGAGTCTGTCTCGACGTCCTCCCTCCTCCTCCTTCTCCTCTCCCCACGCACCATTCTTCGGGGTTCCGCGAGCCATTTACTCGCCTTTCGGGAACTCCGAGACCCGCGAGACAACACCCAAGCCCCCCCCCCCCTCGGCCATCACCCCCGCCGGTACATCTACGTACATCCCCCGTGTCCTGTCTCGTCTCTCACCCTCATCTCCTGAGCCGCCGCGCACTGCGGAGCGATCTCCAGGGCCCTCGACGCCGCGGCGAGCACCGCCTCGTGCTGGCCGTGCCGAGAGGAACGCGCCCCGGACTCGAGCGCGCTGCCAACCCTGCTGGCCTCCTCGATGCCCGCGCTGCACACGCGCTGGGCCTCAACCATCACGGAGCGGTCTGAGCGGGAGGGGAGCGGCAAGTGGGGGTTGGCTGGTGGACCACAGCATGTAGAGAGGAGGCAGCGCGAACGAAAGGCACAAGGACGGTGCAGTAGTCCAACCGCCCAGAGTCACAAGAAACACACCTCACGCCCAGAAGATACTTCCCTCGAGTCATCCTGAGTGTGCGCTTTGAGATTGCGACGAACTGTCGTTTTGCCCAAGGAAAGTTCGACCATTGCCGCCACGAAAACACCCCGCCTATACTGACGTGAACATATTCGAAACCAGAATAAAGGACCAGAACAAACCTATACTGCAAAGCAGAACTACTTTCAGCGTGCATGACGCGCTCTGCACTCACCAGGCAGAGAGATGGCCAGGGAGAGGCCCTCGTTCAGGAAGCGGACGGTCTCCTCGTGCAGGCCGAGGCGAAGGCATGCGTGCCCGAGAAGCGTGATGCCCTGCAGCAGGGTCGGCTCCAGCTGGAGGGCGGACCGGCAGTCCTGCGGGGTGAAAGACCGTCGCCAGAGAAACAGCAGCAGCAGCAGCAGCAGAGTGTGTTGTTGGGTGTAGTACACCCCGCAGTATGCCCTGCAGGAGTGCACTAACCAAGACGCAGCGTTGTGTCTAACTGGGCGCCGGGAGAAATGTTATCTTGCTTGTTGCCTTAGTGGGAGATGTAGCAGAGACTAGAGCGCGTGCGGGACCCAAAACCAGAGTTGGCCGAGCACTCACTCCGAACCAGTGCCCTTTCGGCTCCACGTGGTCCACTCGAGACAGGGGAGCAAACTGAACAAAGCGGAGGCGAGCTTCCAACTCAACAACGGACAAAATCACATGAGCTGTAACAGCAGCAGCAGTAGCAGCAGCAGCAGCAGCAGACCAGCGGCAGAAGTGCCCCAACAATCAGAAAATTAAACACGAGAACTAAAGCACTCAAATAAAGACAAGCCCGCCCGTACCTCAGCGCACGCCTCGTGCTTGCCGAGCGCCGACAGGACCTGCGCCCTCGCCAGCAACAACTCCACCTTCACCGAGGCCCACCCGGCCATGTTCGTCCTGGGGGCGACAATCTTCAGGGCCGAGGTGAAGCTCCTCGCCGCCTCGCGGGGCATCCCCACGAGTGTCTCCGCCCTCGCCTGCTCCGCGAACTCCCTCGCCCGTCCGACGAGCAACTCGTGAAGCCCGGTCCCTCCCCCGCTTCCCGTTGATGCTGCTGCTGCTGCTGCTGCTGCTGCTGCTGCCGCCGCGGCAACAACGGCCGCCGCGGCCGCTGCAGGCGGCTCCAACGGCCGCGCTGCTGCCCGTGGCTTCCGCACGGCGGTGGCCCCTTCTCCCACACCCACGGAGAAGACGGCCGTGCCCGCTGGTGCTGCTGGCGGCGCCGCTGCTGCCTGGCTCTGTTGCTGCTGTTGCTGCTTCTGCTGCTGATGTTGTTGCTGCTGCTGATTCTGCTGCTGAGGTGGCGCCTGAGCGTCCACAGAGGCACCGGCATCACCCCGGCATCGGCTACCGCCGGCGCCAGCGCCTGAGCCGTGCGCTTGCGTGCGACTGCTGCTGCTGGAAGTGCTGCTGCTACGGCCGCGCCGGGGCGGCGTGGGGGCGCAGCGAGCAGCCGCCGCGGCGGCCGCGTCCCGCGAGGACGAGCGCTTCAGCTGGTGGTGCTGCTGTTTGTGAGCTGCTCCGGCTTTGTGAGCCTTTTGGCTGCTGCTCGAGTCCACCCCGGCCCCGCTGCCGTTGCTTCTTCCTGTGCTCGTGTCGCCGCTGCTGCGGCCAATGCTGAAGCTCCTCGATCGCGGAGATGCGGCCGGTTTGGGGAGGGACTGCCGGTGCGGGATATCGGAGGGGGGCGGGGGATCATCGTTTGACATCGGGAAGGCACGAACGGGGGGGGTAACGGTAATGGGTCAGCGCAAGAGGTCGCACGGTGAGTGAGGACCAGGTGGGTTCCAAACGCGGGAGCGGGGCCAAGGGGCAACAAGTTGCAGCACGCCGGAATGTTTTCAGATCGAGAAAGCTAGCGCCCCAAACGCGGCTGCGAAAGCACCCCCACTTAACCAGCTTCCCCCTCCCTCGTACCTTCTCGGCCGCCCTTCCCCGCTCGACGCCGCCGACCCTGGGAGCTGGTTGCTGCAGGTTGGGGTCGTGGCGCCCCAGGGGGGATAGCACCGACGTCCGTTGTGAGACCCCCTTCGCTCCGCCCGGAGTGCGAGGCAGCGGCGGCGGCATGAGATCGAACGCTGTAGAGTCGTTTTTTTTGGCGACGCTGCCGGCCTTGGGCGTTGCCGGTGAAGGAGCCACGAAAAGGTCAAACCGGTGGCTGACAGAAGAGGCGTTCTCCTTGCCGTCCGTCGAGGCGGATGAGGCTGTGCTGCTATCGCTGCCTCGGGAGACCGCCGCCTTGGTCGATGATCCCACGCCGCCGCCGCCGCCGCCGCCGCCCTTGCAGACGCTCATGGGATCCGCCGCGACGTTGTCCACCTGCCCCTGTCCGGCAGTAGCGGCGTGGCAAAAGTTTACAGTTGTTGTCGCTGGTTGTCGTAGCAGTTCTTTGAAGGAAAAGCGTGGTTCCTTCGTTGCGCGGGCGTGCAGACCTACCGGTCAACAGGTGGAGAGCACAGCTGGTTCTACCCGTAGGTGACACAATATACCACACCCGTGTGATAACATTTTTGAAGGTCCAAAAGTTATCAACCAGGTGTGGTACTCTGTAGGGGGTGTGATATCTTGTGTGACCCGTGTGATAAACTGCTCTCAGAGGATTCCACCCGGCAGGGGGTGTGATAACAGGGATGCGTGATAAAAAGGGGGTGTGATAATGTCACCTATGGAATGAACTTCGCCTACACGACCCCACCCGTGTGTGTGTGTGTGGTAACAAGGGGGTGTGACAAAGATGGGGTGTGAAAATGTCACCCGTGGGAAGAAGTGCGCCCACACAACCGAACCTACAGCGTGTGCGATAACGAGGGGTGTGATAATCATGGGGTTTGATAACGTTACACCTACTGTATCATGAAGTGCTCCCACAAGATTTCTGGGTTGCGGGTGGTGTCGCGTGCGCGTTAGCAGCACGGGCGGTGGCAGGCACAGCCGGTGTTGTCGGGGGAGTGTCAGTAGAAGGTTCTATTGCGCGGACCTCGGCAGCTCGGGCGGTGGCAGGCACACCGGGTGCTGCGGGACTCTCAGGCGCCACAGGAAAAATGACGTAACTAGGTGTGCTGCTGCCGCTGGAGTCTGAGCCGCGATGCTTTGAGCAGTGTTGTGTGCTTCGTTCATCTCCGCGGTGCTGTCGGTCGCCATAGCTGGAGTGCAGGGTTACGGCGTGCGCAATGTTCGTGATCACGGCCTACCACACCGGTGTGATCGGGGGCTCCGTGATAGATGTTTGCGGCTCAACTTAGGGGGTGTGGTATCTTCTGTGACCGTGTGATAAATCGATGCTTTTTTCCAGGACGCAAAAAATTATCACACGGGTGTGGTTTTCTGTACAATTTCGTTTGGGGTGTGGTATCTTGTGTAACCTACGGTACACAGCGATGAACATCGATGCTACAAAAGTCCGGGTCTCGCTGGTTTCTCGCAGATCGGGCGTGGTAGTTGTGGTGGTCTAACATTTACAGAAGTAGACTACTGTACTCAACATGCCGTCAATGGCTGTTTGTTTCTTCATCGCACCTTCTTTCGGCCGGAGCCGCTCCTCGAGGCCCTGGAAGGCGTCCTGACGGGGGTGACGGGCATGAAGCGTCTCGGGGTGCTGCCTCCGACCGAAGCCGCTGGCGAGATGCTCATCCTGATCGCGCGCGGTAGAGGCGATCAAGGATCGTATCACGGGCAAGTAAGAGAGAGGGACTGAGGGCGTCCAGTGTGGCGGCGGTGGTGTGAAGGGGAGAGGAGAGAGGCGGCGGGCGGAACACACAGGGGTCGCACAATCTACTGCTGCTGTAGAAGCGTCGTTTAGATTCTTGTCCAGCTGCTTGCTGCCCATCTTCCCGTCGAAGCAGGGACGAAATCAGCGGGAGATCCGTGTGGATCTCTCCCAATCCTCTCGGTAGGTGATTTATGGGTTGCAAGGCAGCGCTGCGGGAGGCAAGTCACACTGCCGTACTGCAGCTGTACGTGCCCTCGCACGCGACGGTTAGGAGGTTGGAAAGGACTGAACAGATCTTGCCTTACTCTTTTGGCCAGGTCTACCAAAGACAAGGCCGATTCGCCGCCGGCAGCTCGATGAACAATGGCCGGCACCAGCCTTCTAGACGACACGAGGTGGCACACACACCAGGAGTTGCTCTCGCAAGCATTGCACACACGCTCGGCGAGCGTGCATACCGCAGCATACACTGCTCCGCCTCTCAAAACAAAGATAGTCAACGGATACACCGCTCGCTGCAGTCAGAAGACCAACGGACCTGTTCGGGTTTCCCTGCTTCCCGGGAGTGACCCCGACCGAGAAGGAGAGCGACCTGGTCGGTGTTCTCCTGACCGGAGTCATGTCCCCCGTCCTGTTGCTGCTCCTCGCGCCCTCGTCGTCGGACACGTAGCAGCTCTCGCTCAACCTGGTGGCTATGTGGGAGGTGTCGTCGCCGAACACGAAGGATGGAGACTTGAGGGCTTTGACCCCACTCATCGGGGAGTACATGGTGTTTCCTCTGCTGCTGCTGCTGCTGCTGCGGCTCATGGCTATGCTGTCGCTGTCGCTGCTGCCGCTGC